CCCCCAACTTTATCTTCTCTTTTTTCTCGCTTTCTTTATTGCAGCCCCCTTTTGGTCACCAATAAAAATCTAAAACCCCCCCCCCCTCCCCAAAAAAATTTTTTTCCCAAATAAACATCACACCCTTGTCGCGATTTTTTTTATCCCCCCCCCCCCCCCCCCCCCCCCCCGGGGGGGGCGGCGTGACTGAAACTAAAAGTAGCTCGTGACAGGTGTGACATGTAGGTGCGAAAAATTATTTATAGCGAGATAGTGCGGCATATTATAGATTTTTATGTATAATATTGGGTCCTTATTTATAAAATGTTATTAAACCAAGAATATCTTCAGCTGACCTTTGTAAGACCTTCCAGGCTGTGGTAAAATAACTCATGATGTCATCGCTATGTGGTAAAAAGTTGCTATAAATCCGTGGAAAAGCTGGAAAAGCAGACTTTCAGGAGATTTCTGGCCTCCGGGTCGTTGGTGTAGACCAAAAAGCATCATTTGAAGAACAGGTGGTTCTGGCTTTGACTGGATGAGAGTCTTTTCAGTTTGTCTGTGTCAGCAAATATTCCAATCGATGTATTTTTCATGTAAGCAGGAAATGGCTGCAGCCCCCCTCGCCTCTTCCTCCGTCCCCCAGCTCCTAAAAGCTCATCCCCGAATGCCCGTCATTCCTCCCCCCCCACCCCCCTTCCCTCCTCCAGCAAGAAGCTTCACATCCCTCCACACACTTACCAGCATCCCCTCCTTCCCCATGTAACTACCAACGTCTGCTTGATGGCTCTGCCAGCGTCGCTGCTACTGTGCTCCCACACAGATATCATGTACTATCCCACGCGATGCCCATCCCCTCGTGCTCACGCTTGCCCTGCCTTTGGTGTCTGCAGTGCACTAAATGGTGTCCATGTGGGTTGATTATACCTCTGCATCAACATCTGTGCAGCGCATTGCAACGTACGTGTGTAGAAGCTGAGGGAAGTAGTGATTCGCTTTACTGCTACTCGTACGAAAACATTCAAATTCAGGAAAGACAAACGCCCTTGAGATTGATGAAGTAGCGATGCACTTGACTAACTTAGATGGTCATAAACGTCTTCTGGTTTTCCTGACCCTCATCGCTTGTTTTGCTGCAAGAGAGGGAGATATACCTGCGGCCAACTCCTCATGACTTGAAACAGCCTGATGTGAAGTATTCCTAGTGTTCAGTATCCAGCTCTGCAGCTTGCGTGTTTTGATAGTGTTATCACTTCAACTGACATTGGCTGTCTGTTTGCAGGTCAAGGATGCAGAAGAAACCAGATACACTGAGCATTGACGACGCTATCGCGGCTTTGTTCCCTGAGGGTGAGCAAGGCTGGCCGCACCCTTGCCCGATCGATACGGAAACATCGGCTCTCCCTTCCAGCGAACTCTCTGCAGACTTCGACAGGCAAGCTTCCTATGCTGCCAACCAGCATGCTATCTTCTCAACCCCTCCTCTTCTTCCGTCAACCTAGCGGGTGCGGTACAAAACCACCTGCCGTCTAAGTTCGACTTCGACCATTCGGTTTCAACCGCGCTGCTTCAGTGCGATATGCCGCGCCCGCATACCATCAGCCTCGACGAGCCTCTTCAGTGTGCAGCTTTGCCAGCTCCTGTTCTCTCTTCTCCTCTGGACTTTCGCGACCCTGCTCATCGACAGCTCAGCTGTAATCCAACACTGCTCGTCAGCCCTGCAGCAGAGGTTCAAGGTCATCCGTGCAGGTTTACACCCCATTTGCTCTTTCACCAGGACGCAAGCCACTCGATGCCTTCCTCTAGCAGCAATGCTGCACAACGTAAGCCGGAAGGCGCGAGGAATACTGGCTCCAGCCCAGAAGGAGGAGGATCTCCATCGGAAAAGCCAAGGATGATGTGGACGAAAGAGGAGCATGCCAAGTTTCTTGAAGCCCTGAACAAGTACAACATCAACACGAAGCGAGAAGAGGACGGGGATGGCAAGATGTTCGTGGGGCTTGGCCCCCACGTCGCAAACCTCATCGCCATGGACATCGGAACGCGCACTGTCGCTCAAGTACGATCGCACGCCCAGAAATACTTTCAAAACATCTCCAAAAAGAAGAAGCAAGCCTCTTGGGACAACAGCATACATTTCGTGCCGCTTGGGAAACGCAAGTCATCCATCTTCGATGATCGTGACAAGTCATGAACTCCGAGTCCGGGACTTCTACGAGACTGATGAAACTAGTTCTCATGATAGCCGCTCACTTGAACCGTTCCGAGGTCACTCAGCCTGCATGGTGAATGATGATGCTAAGTTCGGAGCTACCACACCAACTACTAGTACACCATCATGGTCAGTCACGGCATCCGACACTGAGTCCGATCACCGTCACTGAGCAACCGAACTCAAGCAAGTTGCCGCAAATACCATCACTGTAGTAGCCGTAAGTTGCAGTGAAACATTGACTCACTTAGTGTTAAAATACACAACATTTACCGTACGGTAAGACCGTGCTGAGAAGGTTCGTTTCCCGGTACACTGCGGCCCAGCGAGATGAATACCGGACCGGTGACCGTGTCACAGTGTCACGCCGTAGGGCCTAGCCTGACGGTAGATGCCAGCGGTCGACGGTCCGATCCGATCCGACTGGAGTACCGTAGTACAGTCACGGTCCGCCGGGCCGCCGCCGCGACTGCCGCAGTGCCCGGCGTGCGCATTCCGCAGTGCCCGGCCCCCGCGGCCGACCGGCGGTACGGTCCGCCGCACTGCACTGCCCCGCCCGGCGTGTGCCGGCCGGGTCCGCCGGTTCCACGGCCCGGCGGGCACGTTGCCAAGCGGCGGCCGGACTCCCGGGAAGTTCCGAAGTTCCCCATCGGTTGAAGTTTGAACTTCAAACTTCGAATGGCCCTCCCTTTGCCAAGTTGACTAAACATTTGTGCAAGGAGGCTGGTCTACTCCTCATGTTCTTTACTCAAAGTTAAGTTAAAGATCAGTACGATGACAATCAGGAGTAGTAGTAGACGGGACACCGTTGAGTTTTAACGGACGAATTGGAAACCGTCGGGCACGCCTTTTTTTTGGTTAACGACGGCCTCAAATTCGAGTACCCCGCCCAATCCAGTCCTAGCAACAAGGGGAAGTCCACCCCTCCCCATGAGGATTCGGGCACGCATTCCCCTTCTTCTGAAACAGCATCGTTTCACAATTCCACGTGTACCGGATATAGTTTCCCTTACCTTTTTATAGACTCTTTTTTTCGTCAGCAGCACCCGGGGGCTGAAGAGGGCCGGAGGACGGGACGGCAGTGGAGACCCCGAAAGGACGCAGCAGGCCCACGGCAGCACTATGACGCATCCATTGAGGATACCCTTGCTTGCATATGCTCTCATTTAAGAAAATGTAAACCTTAGAGGGGTAAGAGCACAAAACACAAACGACTGGGAGAAGGGGCCACCCATGCAGGCTCTAGACGATTCTGCGATCTTTTTGAGCCATGAAAGCTACGTGCAAAGGGTAAGACCCCCACCCCCCCTTACAGGAAATTGAAGACCCGTCCCGGAGACTTTACTGTCATCGGATCTGGTGATTGAGATCTAATTTAAGGGTTGGTTTTACAGGGTGGCCGTGCACTGATGACCGGAGAGCATGGAAATACACCTTTTCGATACATTTTCGTCAATGGACCTTGAACCCCACTTCCTCCAAATGGCATCGCTTCATGGACAGGGGGCAAAGAATTTCCGAACTGGAGTGTTTTCCTTGGATCTCAGATGTTAGGGGTTACGTCATCTTTGTCGAAAAGACATCTTTCCGTTCAGCACAGCTTCAAGGCTCCCCCTCCTTTCTCCCTTCTTCTACCTTCTTCCCCTCCCCTCTACTCACGCTCCTGCTCCCCAACAAGCTTTGCCATCTCCTACCTCCTCTACTTGTTCTTGCCTGACCTCTTCCATCCTCCCCAACAACAAACAAGAATCTACACCTCCCTTCCTTCGTCTGCCTGACAGTCACCTTCCCCTCCCATCAGAACCCGTTTGAAACCATCTCACATACCAAGATGCAAGTTTATCAGGACGAAGTCAGTTTGGTTGATGCAATCGCCGCTCTCTTCCCAGAGGACTCCTTTGTCTTTCCTGAAAGACAATCGCCCTCCCCCTCTCTCTTTGCTTTCCAAGAGGAAGAGATGCAAGCTCTTCCTTCGGCTCAGGAAGAATCTCCCAGGATCATGATGATCTATGCCAAGACGTTCCCCAAGGAGGCAGGCATGGAGCAGCACGAGAGAGAGTCCAACACCAACTCCGACGACAGCTACTGCACGTCAGAGTCGGACTCAGCGCTGGAGGCTGAGGAGGAGCAAGCCAACAGGGGGGAGCCCCGGGCTGCTCCCTCTACCGGCCACATGCCCAAGTCTGTGCAGCGGAGCATGTGGTCGCCAAGAGAGCATCAAAAGTTTCTCGATGCTCTCAAGAAGTTCAACATCAGCTGCAACAGAGAGACTAAGGAGGACGGCAGGATGTACGCTGGCCTTGGGCCACACGTGGCCGACCTGATTGCCATGGACATTGGAACGAGGACAGTCTCGCAGGTCCGATCTCATGCTCAGAAGTACTTCCAGCGTCTCTCTCGTCAGAGGAGCAGGACGTCCCCTGTGCAGGAGTAACCTTCCTTGCTCTATCTCCCTCCTCCTGTGTTATGGCGGGCAGTTTTCCATCTTATGTGGCAGATTTCGTGTAAAATATTGTCCTGGTTGCTTTTCCTAGATCAATAAACCAAATTAATCCAAAATATTTCATTGACGACTTGAAGAATTCGTTCCCCGACTCGATACTTGTCCACAATTCCTTGTTTTCGAGGACTTTCGACACGCCTTGTAGGTAACGATGTCATTTCTATCAGAAAAAGTTTATTGCTTGTTGGAAACTGTACAAAATGTTTGGGTGCATGCAATGGAGATATACCATCAATGTGGTAGATCGAAAAAATGCAAAAGGAATTGCAAAGTTGATACAGCAGGTCGAGTTTTTCATTTTCGCAATCAGAAACAAAATATGCTCCACCTTGCCAACACTGCAAGAAAATAAGTCAAGATAAACCAGAATAAGTATCATCTCTCGCTTGAAGGACATCTGAATGACTCATTGAAAAACCTCTTCTCAAGTTGCGTGAATAATAATGACTATCAGCGAAAGCTGAGTACAAATGATATTTGAACAGTCAGACAAGTTTATTGCCTTCACGAAACCATTCTCCATTTGAAAACATCACCAAGCTTCTCTTGTCTTTCGTAATGAATCAGCACGATGTCAATACCTCATCATACCTATAGCTGCTTACTCATTACACACTCACACACTCAACGCATCCTATCAACTCCTGATCTTCTCTTCCTCTTTCCCTCCTCTTGTCTTGAAGCTCATCCCACAATGCCCAGATTCGTCTGGTAGTCCCATGGTATGAAGGCGCTCCTGCTCGTCCCACACCCGTCAGTTTCACCGTCCTCCTTCTCCGCCCCCTCCCCCTCCCCCTCCACCCCTCCTCTTCCTCCTTCCCCTCCTCTTCCTCCTTCCCCTCCTCCTCCTCCCTCGCTGACCCACCAGCTCTCGTCGTACACATAGCAGTAGGCGTCGTTGAACTGCTCAAGCCACGTCACTTCCTCCTTCCCCTCCTACCGCTGCCCCTTACCCATCCGCAGGTGCCTTGTCCTTGCAAGCACATCCACACCTCCTTCTTGTACGGCAACATCTGCTTGCCCAGCCCCCCTGCCGTCCCTCTCACGTCACCAGCGCCGCGAGCGAGGCAGCAAGCTCACCGGTGATAAAGGTCTTGAGGGGGTCCCGGCTGATGTTCTTCCAGCTGCTCCCGGCATAGCACTGCCACAGACTCGTCACGACCTTACGACCTCTTCTCAGCTCGTACCCCAGGGTTCCAATAGTCGTTCAGCATGTACAGGGGCATGGGCGCGGTCGATATGACCTTCATGTCGCTGTACATCTCAGTCCAGCCTCTCATCAGCCCCTGTACAACCCGCGGCACGTGAGACCAGCACAGCCCCAGCTCCTCGCCTGCTTGCCTGGAGGATGGAGAACTTGTTGTCTACATACGGCGACAGCTCGGCGGTCAGCATGGCGTCCTGCCGGCTGCAGTGAGCAACAGAAGGCAGCCAGACGGATGAGCGCAACGCACATGCTCGGCTGACAAGACCTTGACGTGCAGGTGGAGAGTCGTCAAGGGGTACTGATATGTCCAGTAGTGCAGATACGTCTGCCAGGCAGAGTATAAGAAGTAGAAGATGGCGCGGACGTCAGTCTCACTCCGTTGTAGGTAGCCGGGAAGCTCGTGACAAAGTCCATGACGGCCTGCAGCAGGTAGTGAGGAGGAGGAGGCGAGAGGAGGAGCGGCGCTCCTGGGCGCTTACCGAGTTGAAGAAGTCGTTGCCGCCATACCACGACATGCCGTACATGTCGTACATGCCGTACATGAAGTGATCCGGGGAGAGATTCTCAAAGGCAATGACAGCGTACTTCTCAATTGGGTAGGTGGAGTACATGTCGCCTGACGATCAAGTCTGTCAGCGGCTGTGCAGTAGGAGCGGCAGCTTCATCACAGGAAGGAGGAGGAGTCATGGTGCTGTTGCTGTCCTGCATGTTGTTTGCATAGCAGGTGTCGGTGATGTTCTGCCAGATGGTCTGAAACTGCCACGGCATAGCGTCTCCCAACCCATTGAGGCAGCAGCCCACGTACGACTGGTACGACGCCAGCGCCTCCTGCTCTCCCCGTCAGCCCCATGGCTTCCATGTCCTCCCCTCTCGTCGTCTGCTATCGTTGCTCATACCTGGCATTCCATCGAGCAAGCAAGTCCCATGAAGCCCATGTAGGTGTAGTCCGTCACGGACATCGGGTCGGCGGGAAGGCCACATGCAGAAAGAACGGTACTCCACTTTGGCGCAAACTCAGCCTCGTTCATGTATCGCTCCGCACAGTAAGAGCCTTGATCTGCCCGCATGCACCGTCATGACCCCCTCGTGACCCGACGCTTCCACTTCACCGCACATCCCTCCCCTCATCTTCCTTCCCCAACTCTCCCTTCTCCCTCCCTTGCTCGCTCTCTTCCTTTTGTCCATCCATGCCCTTCTTCCTCTCCCTCCCTTCTTCACCTGTGTAGCAGCCTGCGCTCGCAATCATGCTCATCCAACTGTCTGGCTCGACAAGCGCAACCGCTTGCATCACCTGACGTGAGTCATCTCAGCCTTCCTCCCTCCAGGCTCCGCCTCTTCCCTCACCTTCATCCCGCAGGACGAGCAGAGCAGGCTTGCCCTTGCCTGGTAGTCACTCGAGGACCCGGTCATGGCCTCCAAGACAGCTGCAGGAGTGCATTGGTCGCAAAGCCCCATCACGTTGTTCATCACTTGATCCTCGTTGGACGACGCGGGCATGCTCATTTCTCCCTCCCCGCTTATCATCATCATCATCGTAGTCGTCATCTGGTACATCATTCGCACGCAGTCGCTGCATATCACCTGCAGCCTCCATCACATGCCCCTCCCTCGCTAGCCCTCTCGCTCTGCTCCTCTTGCTCACCTCCATGGCAGCTTGCGGAGACTCGACGTTGCTGAGTTGGTCCAAACAAGCCGCAAACTGATTGTCGCGACAAGTCATGTTCCATGTTGTGATGGAGATGTTGATCATCGGACAAGCCATGAGCGAGCTCAGGTCTGCCTCCGACAGGCTCCCAACCATGTCAAGCATCCCCGACATGCACTCACACCCAGACGCCCTCGAGCTCGCATCGAAGAAGTCAAGCATGGGGCAGTTGGTCATGGAGGAGGATATCTCCATGACGAGCGGGTTGCTCCACGAGTCGCAAGGGTCTCCCGACATGCTGCGGGTCTTGGCGCGCTGCTGCCTCGACGCGTCGGCCTTGTGCTTGGCCACGTGGACCTTGAGGGAGTGCGGGAGGTCCGAGAGGGAGGACGAGAGCTGCCCGACCCTGGTCTTGACCAGATCCAGGAAGTTGTGGGCATGTTGGGCCGGGGCAGCATGGCTGGACTTTGTATCATGCTGTTGGACAGGAAGAGCAGCATGGGCGAGAGCTGGGAGGAGGAGGAGGAGGATAGCGGAGTGCTTGGAGGGCATGGGGTCTTAGCACCCTGCGACAAAAGTCAAAATGGCTCAGAATTGGTGTGATTACGAGAAAAAGGAAAAGAATATGTGATGGTAGACAGAAAGGATCACATCGAAAAGCAAAACGCAAGAGCTGATGAGAAGTGGAGCGAAATGACGAGCAGGGTTTCAGCAGCGATCATGCCGCATTGCAGCAAGGTACAGCCTAGCAGGGAGACTCGAATCATAGCAAGAGAAGGGAAGGAAACGAAGGACGCAAAAAATAGCCAAGGGAAACGAAAGGAACCCCTACTGGACATGGCAAGGAGAGGATGGAGAGCGAACACGGGTTAGTCAGGCGCGACTGCAGAAGCATCGTGGTCGAAGGGATATTGAGCGGAAGCGGCAAGCGGGGGGTATGAAAAAAATCGTTTTTGAAGACATGAACATTTCTGATAATTTCAAATTGTTTCAAACGTTTTCAAATTTTGTTAATATCTTGAATTGTTTTCATTTGTGAGGGTTCACTTGCAGAAAATTTACTTCTAATAACTCACTTCTTATTTCTGAAAAGTTTGCACCACCATGTTGGAATATCTCGATGAAATTTGAAATACCATAGATAGATTTAAGACTATCAAAAAATCTGGTTGGCGGTCATAAAGGACACGGACTCCACCATGGTGACAACCGGACGAGGCGGGCGCGCCATTCTGCGATGCTGCAGGGGCCCATACTTTTAGTTACTCATCTTTCAGTCACTTGCAAACGCCGCGTGACGACGTCGTCACGTGACTCACTGTGACTCCCCCCCCTCTCGGCCCGGCTCCCGGCCCCGGCGGCGGGGGGGCCCCGGGGCCCCGGCCCGGCGGGCCGCCGCCGGGCCCGGCCACTGCAGGCTCCGGACGGCGGCCTCAAGTTCCGCCCCGGTGCACCCGGGCCCCGGCCTCCGACCATGGGTGAGGGGGCCGCGCCCGGCCGCGGGGGGCGCCAACTTGAACGGCCACTGCCGCCTAGACCGGTCTGGCAGACTCCGCCGGGACTCCGGGATCCGGCGATGATCCGGGCGCAGCCCGGCGGCCGGCCCGGGTGCAACGCCGCGGCCGTGACGCCGGGTTGTCGGACCGTTCGACAGTCGCGGGGTGATGTTGTACCCATGACATCGTTGCACTTGTAACGATGCAACACTGACAGCATCATCCCCGAGTCATGCCGAAACTGAAATAGCAAAAACTCATAAGGGCAATATGAAGTTTTATATGAAATACCTCCGGTACCGTGTCGGGTAGCCATTTTGGTACTTCATCAGGCGAATACCGACTGTTATGTATACCATGCCCAACGGCATCCGAGTTGTACGGTGGACCTGGCGGCTACTCCGTCGTAAACTCAGTACCGTTGAATGATAGTGACAGGTAGAGTACTTCACTACGAGGATGAGACTTGACCGTACGGTACCATAGCAAGATCATTTACGACACTATTTAAGCTCAGAGAGGAGCGGACACCTTGGCCGCTCGTTACCTCGCCACTCTTACACGAGTCAGTCCCTCGGATACGTTATCTTGCTCTGCTACTAGTCTCACATCACGGGGTGCCATGCGTGATGGAGCGTATGCCAGCCGTGCCAGCCTGCCAGATAGCGCCGAGTTAACAAAAACTCTCCTGTAAACCAAGACGACTTACGTGTCAAGGCGGCATTGTAGTACGTGTGATGAAGAGGAGGCCTTCCTAGCCGTCTGCTTGGGTTTCACATCCTAGCATACAGTCTATCTCTCATGTGCTCCTCAATTCTGGTTTTTGTGTGCATTAAACTCGGTCTTGAGCAAAACTTGCCATCACTGTCTTGTTACAACTTAGCCTGTCGATGTGATATCTGCGTGACTTTGGACTAGTACAAGTCTAACAAACTTGTATTCCGTCATATGGGCCCCGATTACATGCCGCCCCCCCGAGTCCGAATCATGTTGATCTTATATTTGGTTAGTTGAATTGTTTACACTGGAGTTTTTTCTTTCTTGGTATTGTTTTCCGTTGCTGTTGAAAGTTGAAGTTATGCAATTTTTATCAAGCCTTACACATTCGGATGACTCCTCTCTTCAATCAGGCTCTCTCTCTAGCCGCAAGTTCGAATATCTGAACTGTGTCGGAAACACAGTTGTCGGAGCTAATTCGATTCTAATCTTCTTGATCTTTGAGTAGGATCAAATGGAACTACCAGGACTGAGATCTGGCGGAAGTTTCATGGCATGGAGCTAGGCTGTGGCATGCATAACTCAGAGCTACTTCTGGATCGGCGAACAAGGTACAACTGCAAAACATGTTCAGATGCCTTGAAACGGACTCGATGTTCCAATCTCGCGGCAGCAATCTCTGGTCACAAGTTCTTTACGGTTCAAAATTTATCTTTTGGTCTTCAAATGCCGGCGGGCACTCTCTCTCTCCGAGGCTCTCTCTTGCGGCCATCAGCTCGCCAGCGGCATCTCCCCTTATCTCTGCACTGCACATCTAATAGCCCTGCATGAAAATCTTCTTCAGAATGGACAATCTTTGAATGGTTATTGCCCACTCAGCATGACTGTGAACTTGACGTTGTATCATCGTATCTTGACTTGGATCTGCTGACATTCTCTTGGAACGGTTTGAGTGACTTTCTGACGTCCCGGCCCGGCGGCGATGTAACGGACGGTGACTATTTCAGAAACTCGGGGGGAAGATGGAGACGGTACGGTCAGCTGTCAGTGAGCCTGAGTCCCGGGCAGTCCGCCGGACGGTCCCCGCCGGGGCCCGGGCCGGTACCGTGCCGGTCCGAGGGCGCCGGGGCCGGCGGCCGCACACTTATGTGGCAGCCTGCCACTGACTGACGGACGGTACCGTACGGTGAGCGGCCGGGCGGTCCGATCAGCCGGGCCGCCGGGCCCGGCCACGGGACCCGCCACCGCCGCTGCTGAGCCTGGGGGGCGGCGGCGAAGTGAAGTGACTCAGCAATACTGCGGCACAGATTTGCGGTACTAGTAGGCTACCGTACTATATCGGAGTTTTAAAGTAGCACAAGGAATGATTTTAAACTCGACGGCGATTCCGGCACTAGTGTAGTACAGTACCACAGTAGTAGCCTGGTACTAAGTACCACCAGATCCGCGGAGGATTACTAATGGTACTGACTTATTAGTCAGTAGTATTAGAGGGTGTTGTGTTATTTAATTTACTTTTTTACTTTATTGACTGAAAAAGAAGGACAAACCTTTACTTTTACAATTTACTTTACTCATAAGGTGCACCCCACCGCCGACGACAAGTTAATTTTCACTGCCACCACCCCTCCCACATCAGCATCACTTGCTTTTCAGGACCCGTCCATAATACCCCAATTCACCTACCCCTTTTGAGGGTGAAGAGGACGAAGTCAGCGGTAACCCTGGATAAGACTACCCCTACCCCCCATGATTTTGCATCACCAATATGTCAACTTCCCCTCCTTTTACATGTCTTACTTGTCCCTCACTCCCTCACTAATAGCGTTGGAAATCCCTCCTCCTCTCTCCTCGTCCGCTGTTGTCATGAACCATAATCGTCATGAACCATGATGCTCATCTTTAACTTCATCTGAACCACCCTACCATGATCATCATCATCATCATCATCATCATCATCATATTATCATGTTCTTGTACTCCATCATTATCATAGTGTTCTTCTTCTCCATCAGCTACATCATCATCTCCTCCATCATCATGACCTCCATTATTGTCAGCAGCAGCAGCAGCAGCAGCAGCAGCAGCAGCAGCAAATCTTTTATTTCTTATCGATTGAACTTTGATCATCCAGTTTTCACAACAATATTGCCAGGCTTTTTTCTAGACTCCTCCTCCTTCTTTGCTCGCGATCATCCATATAGCATCGTCCTCGACCTCCCCCGCTCCTCGTTGGACCTTAACTTGTCCTCCTCTCCCCTTCCTTTTTCTCCTCCTCCTCCTGCTTGTCCTCTTCCTCAATCGAATTCCCTCCCTCACTTCCCATCATTCCCACTTGACTAATATTGACAATCATAGTGACCCTCACACCTAACAACCTCTTCATCAAGAACAAACCAGCCCTTCTCATCTTCATTTCGTCGCCCTGTTTTTACTTTTGAGGCAGGAATTTCGCCTGCAAAGACCCCATGCCCTCCAAGCTCTCCGCTATCCTCCTCCTCCTCCTCCTCCTCCTCCCAGCCCTCGCCCTTGCTGCACTTCAGAGGGAGCCTGCCAAGACTGACACACAGGCCAGCCATGCTGCCCCGGCCCAACATGCCCACAACTTCCTGGATCTGGTCAAGACCAGGGTCGGGCAGCTCTCGTCCTCCCTCTCGGACCTCCCGCACTCCCTCAAGGTCCACGTGGCCAAGCACAAGGCCGACGCGTCGAAGCAGCAGCGCGCCAAGACCCGCAGCATGTCGGGAGACCCTTGCGAGCAGTGGAGCAACCCGCTCATGATGGAGATGTCCTCCTCCATGACCAACTGCTCCACGCTTGACTTCTTCGATGCAAGCTCGAGGGCGTCTGGGTGTGAGTGCATGTCGGGGATGCTTGACATGGTTGGGAGCCTGTCGGAGGCAGACCTGAGCTCGCTCATGGCTTGTCCGATGATCAACATCTCCATCACAACATGGAACATGACTTGTCGCGACAATCAGTTTGCGGCTTGTTTGGACCAACTCAGCAACGTCGAGTCTCCGCAAGCTGCCATGGGGGTGAGCAAGAGGAGCAGAGCGAGAGGGCTAGCGAGGGAGGGGCATGTGATGGAGGCTGCAGGTGATATGCAGCGACTGCGTGCAAATGATGTACCAGATGGCGACTACGATGATGATGATGATAAGCGGGGAGGGAGAAATGAGCATGCCCGCGTCGTCCAACGAGGATCAAGTGATGAACAACGTGATGGAGCTGTGCGACCAATGCACTCCTGCAGCTGTCTTGGAGGCCATGACCGGGTCCTCGAGTGACTACAAGGCGAGGGCGAGCCTGCTCTGCTCGTCCTGCGGGATGAAGGTGAGAGAGAAGGCGGAGCCTGGAGGGAGGAAGGCTGAGATGACTCGCGTCAGGTGATGCAAGCGGTTGCACTTGTCGAGCCAGACAGTCGGATGAGCATGATTGCGAGCGCAGGCTGCTACCAAGGTAAAGAGGGGAGAGAGAGAAAGAGGAGCATGAGATACATAAAGAGAAGAGAGAGGAAGAGGGCGAGGACAGCAAAGGGGGGGGGGGGTGATAGAGGGGGAAGGAAGATGAGGGGAGGGACGATTGGTCAAGTGGAAGCGTCGGGTCACGAGGGGGTCATGACGGTGCATGCGAGCAGACCAAGGCTCTTACTGTGCGGAGCGATACATGAACGAGGCTGAGTTTGCGCCAAAGTGGAGTACCGTTCTTTCTGCATGTGGCCTTCCCGCCGAACCGATGTCCGTGACGGACTACACCTACATGTCTTACATGGGACTTGCTTGCTCGATGGAATGCCAGGTATGAGCAACAATAGCAGACGACGAGAGGGGAGGACATGGAAGCCATGGGGCTGACGGGAAGAGCAGGAGGCGCTGGCGTCGTACCAGTCGTACATGGGCTGCTGCCTCAATGGGTTGGGAGACGCGATGCCGTGGCAGTTTCAGACCATCTGGCAGAACATCACCGACACCTGCTATGCAAACAACATGCAGGACAGCAACAGCACCATGACTCCTCCTCCTTCCTGTGATGAAGCTGCCGCTCCTACTGCACAGCTGCTGACAGACTTGATCGTCAGGCGACATGTACTCCACCTATCCAATGCACAAGTCAATCAAACTCGCAATTGAGAACCTCTACCCGGATTACTTCATGTACGGCATGTACGGCATGTACGGCATGTTGTCGTATGGCGGCAACGACTTCCTCAACTCGGTAAGCGCCCAGGAGCGCCGCTCCTCCTCTCGCCTCCTCCTCCTCACTACCTGCTGCAGGCCGTCATGGACTTTGTCACGAGCTTCCCGGCTACCTACAACGGAGTGAGACTGACGTCCTCGGCATCTCCTACTTCTTACACTCTGCCTGGCAGACGTATCTGCACTTCTCGACCTATCAGTACCCTTTAGCGACTCTCCAACTGCACGTCAAGGTCTTGTCAGCCGAGCATGTGCGTTGCCTCGTCCGCATGGCTGTCTTCTGTTGCTCACTGCAGCCGGCAGGACGCCATGCTGACCGCCGAGCTGTCGCCGTATGTAGACAACAAGTTCTCCATCCTCCAGGCAAGCAGGCGAGGAGCTGGGGCTGTGCTGGTCTCACGTGCCGCGGGTTGTACAGGGGCTGATGAGAGGCTGGACTGAGATGTACAGCGACATGAAGGTCATATCGACCGCGCCCATGCCCCTGTACATGCTGAACGACTATTGGAACCCTGGGGTACGAGCTGAGAAGAGGTCGTAAGGTCGTGACGAGTCTGTGGCAGTGCTATGCCGGGAGCAGCTGGAAGAACATCAGCCGGGACCCCCTCAAGACCTTCATCACCGGTGAGCTTGCTGCCTCGCTCGCGACGCGGGTGACGTGAGAGGGACGGCAGGGGGGCTGGGCAAGCAGATGTTGAAGGACAAGAAGGAGGTGTGGATGTGCTTGCAAGGACAAGGCACCTGCGGATGGGTAAGGGGCAGCGGTAGGAGGGGAAGGAGGAAGTGACGTGGCTTGAGCAGTTCAACGACGCCTACTGCTACGTGTACGACGAGAGCTGGTGTGTCAGCGAGGGAGGAGGAGGAGGGGAAGGAGGAAGAGGAGGGGTGAAGGGGGAGGGAGAGGAGGGGGAGGAGGGAGAGACTGACGGGTGTGGACGAACAGGAGCGCCTTCATACCATGGGACTACCAGACGAAGCTGGGCATTGTGGGATGAGCTTCAAGACAAGAGGAGGGAAAGAGGGAGAGAAGATCAGGAGTTGATATGATGCGTTGAGTGTGTGAGTGTGTAATGAGTCGGCAGCTAGAGGTCTGGAGAGGTATTGACATCGTGCTGCTGTTCTCGATTTTATTAATCATATGTCTTCATTAAGCAAATGAATATGTACAAGTGGCTACATAGATCCAACTCTAGGGTCTCCACGTCGCCAAATTTACATGAGAGCACGCAGCTCTACGAAGAAATCATGATGAATAATCCCATTACATGCTTTGTTGCGTATCTATAATGTCCGTAATCTCCTAATTCACAAGAAGAGATGTTGAGAAGGAGATTTGCTAGCACACTCACATATATTTGCCCCTGCCTGTCCCTGTCTGGAACTACGACATTCTCGGTCCGAAGACTTCTTACAGCTGCGGATAGGAAGAAGTTTGTAATCTAGCCGTTGAGAGTATGAAAGCTCCATGAAGCCCTCGGAGATATGGCAAAGTCCTCGAAAACGCTTCATAACTTTATCATGACTTTATCGAGTATCACGACGCTATTCCGCGAATTGAAACATTGAATGATCCATAGAATGATGAATTGCTTTTTCAAGCTGCATCATATTACTTTTGACGCGATAGACGTATTTGCCATTTTGATCTTTCCATTTATTGTGTGACAAGTGGTGATCACTCTCCTTTGTCTTAGTATTTCCATAACAACCTCTGGCTGAATACTGCTGAACGATAGAATGTGAGATGGGAGTGGACCAACAATAGATTGAGCATGGGCAAATTTCAAACGTACGTTCAAGACATTCGGTGTATCTTTCACAGATCTATTAAAATCGGGACCTTGCGGTTCGAAAATTGGGCAAGGACCTTTAAAAGACATTCAAACAGTGCTGAGAGCTGAAGGTGCATCTCTGTCTTCTCCACTTGAGCGATGAGGTTTAACATTAGAAAGGGAGAATGTTTCGTCAGGATTCAAAGAATAACAACAAGCATTTAACTAGCGGGACTTCACTTGGCTGGTAGCGCACTAACGCAGGTCTTCTGGAAGTACTTCTGCGCATGCGATCGGACTTGCGCTGCATTTCTAGTCCCGATCTCGATCGCGATCATGTCGGCAACGTACGGCCCCAGCCCAACATAGAGCTTCCCGTCCGCCTTTGTCTCCCGCATTGGGTTCACGTTGTACTTCTTGAGGGCGTCCATAAAGAGCTGATGCTCCTCATCTGACCAGAAGCTTCGCTTCCTCATGGTCTGCTTGCTCTTCTTGGACTTCATCACCTTCCCTTTCTTGCCCTGCTCGGCGTCGATTGGGGTCATGTCTTGACTTGGGGGGGAAGCAATCTCCTGTGCAACGACCGGGGTTGCCATCGTGACTGCAGCAGGTTGCAGCAGCATGTTGGTCGAGGCCAGAGAAGTCAGTGCGTCCATTAGCATCTTCTGCTTCATGGCATTCTGACTCTCCATCAGTCGCAGCTGCTGCTGGAGTAGAAGGGTGGTGTCCTCCGAGGGGATGATGGGGTGCAATGAACCCACCTGAAGACTTTGAGCCGCGATAGGGAAAGAAACAGGCAAGATGCTCGGGAAAGCGCTGTAATGAGACTGCACAGGATTCAACGGAGAAGGAACTAGCCAGGAGCTCAAGTCCAAAGGAATGTCGCCGTATCGTTGCATCACAGTAATGTTGTGTGAAGGGAAAGACAGCGAGAAAGAAAAGAGACTACAGGGAAGGGCGAGAAGAGCAAGACAAGCGTTACTGAAGGAGATGGGCGCTGCAAGGGAGAGGATTGGGGGGAGTGAGGAGGGAGAGTAAAAGGAGCGGGGGAAGGAGGAGGAGGAGGAGGAGGAGGAGGAGGGGAAATGCGCGGGTCAAGCTACAGACAGGCAAACGCAGGGCAAGAGGCCAAACAAAGGAGGTGAGAGATACTTCGAAAAGAGATTCCGAAGGGGGGTGGGGTACTTTAGTACCGGGTACTTCATAGATATCTTGAATAGTTCAATGGGGGGTAGATAAACATCTTGCTGGATATGGTACGGGAGACCCTTTGTGGGGTCCAAGATATCTTTCAATTAGGATAATATGGTACTCTCTTTACTACATAAATCCTCAACGATTCGCAGAATATGTCGGTTGCTGACACAAATCTTACATCAAAAACTTGTTTTTGAAGAGGTACCCCTAGCTGATACGTATCAGCGTCGTTTGCCAGAAGCCCAAGGTGCCCTCTTCTCAGTAATCATCTTTACTAGACTTATGAAAAATTATGACTCCGAAGCCTTCAATTCGATCGTAAGATCCCTTGACCCCAGATTAGCATAACCATGAGACAGATATCTTGGGGTTTGGCACGTCCTAGATATTGCTGGGATTCTGTGGACTATAAAAAGTAGGTAATGTTTGTACTGAAATATGACACAATATAGAACTTCCGATCCTAGGTGTAAGTTAATAAGGATGTAAATGATATACGACAACGGGGGTACAAGGTGATTGTGAGGAACATTGCAATACTTTTTATAGTGTTTGCCATACAAAAATGAACTCTAGATATGGTCAGATATATACGTGTTCGTCAATGACCAACGTGGACTGCCGATCCCAGGGCCCAATGAGTCCTCACCTCGGCAACACCGATCCATATTTGGAAATTGATTCTTTTTGTACATTTCAAACTAGAGACAACTATTTCAAGATATTCCATTGTTTTGAAGAGAGCAAGGCCGAATCGACTACCGTAAAAAGATTATAAGCATTTGGACCCATAAGGAATAAACCGTGTAGTAATTATAATTTTCCGTTACATCCTTGTCAATAAGAATAATTATACTGATATAATTGTTTTTTTTAAAAGGAAGAGGTCGTTTGTCACCTTCCTTGTTCCATGACTCAGTACCCTACCCCAGAAATCCATTTGTAAAGTACCCACCCAAACATGCCATCAACCTGCAATGTGACCGCATGACACGCAGCATGACATCCGGAAGGCTCCGAAAAAAAAAATCGATGGGCGGAGAAGGGGGGCATATGACAAAGGAGGGGTTGTTGACATGGTAGTTGAGGGGGTGGGGGGTACACCGTTGTCGTGTCATAGCCAAATTGGACATCCGAGGTGTCCCATGAGAGCTTGGTCAATTATGAGTGCACTAATTGATATCCTATTGTGAAGCTGCTGCCTTCTTCCATACTTTAGTCAACTAAAAACACGTGGATGACAGGCGCAGTAAGACCTGGTTTTCCGATGAACGTGACCAGGCAGTAGTGTAACCGGGACCGGGCCGGCCGGGCCGGGCCTTGAGTAACTGTCGCCGTTGCCGGGAGGTGTACCGGGCTCCGGGGCCGGGCAAGTCGTGATTGCTGAGGCGGGCTTGATAAGGTGGTCAGCCATCTTCACTGGATCTTTTCGCGCCATTGCAATCAGTTGGAAACCAAATGCCTGTGCTCATGGTTGAATGAAGAGAGGAGAACAGGACAGCAGGAGGAGAGAGGAGGAGAGTACAGCAGGAGGAGAGAGGAGGAGGAGAGGGAGAGGAGGAAAGGAGGATGACAATCCAAGTCAAAGACGATGGGGGAGACCAAAGTGTAGGAGCCGGGGAAAACCAACACATTTAGAAAGCAGAGAACATTGTGTTGTTAATGCGCGGGTGAGAAGTAGAGAGTGTGTCAGAGGAAATAGTAAGGAACAATTGCCAATTGTGAGCTGATCCGAGGGCTGGGTGGGACTGCTCCAGATGGGATAGGTCGACGGATGAGCTGCTAGCAGACTACGAAGCAGCTGAGACCCTTTGCAGAGAGATGGAACGAGAGGCATAATAGCAACCCCCTATCCTGCTTTGAAGTTCTCCCCTCCCCCTCCCTCCCCCCCTCCCTCCCCCCCTCCCTCTCCCCCTCCCTCTCCTGCATCTCCTCGTTATTACCTCGATCTGACAGGACTTGCTGTTCCAGCAAGGAAGTTCAAGTGGAGCATGTGACATCACGCGAACTCCTCGGTCCCTCTTCTTTCATGTCACAGCAGCACGTCATTCGGCGTCTGAACGAACTCAATTCACTGCTGGAGCAGCAGCGATCGAGCCCCGCAGCTCCCGCAGAGCATGCAATGGGAGGAACAAGTCTGCCTGCCATACACGCCAGACCGGCTGCTGTACTTGAGCAGGAGAGGAGGAGGGGAGGACTGCCGGAGACACTTCCACCGCAGGTGAGCAAGAGGAGATAGGAAGGAACTGCTCTGACCGGGACGGCAGGAGGCGTTCCTGAGAAGCCTCCTCGACAGCAAGTTTGCTGAGCTGCGATCGATCGAAGAGTCCAATCGAGCGATGCAACAGCAGCTGAGGAGGAGGAAGGTCCGTTAACGCCCTCCCTCCTCCCTCCTGCCATGCTGATCGTGAGACCGAGATCAGGAACAGGTTGTGTTCAGTGGACCCCCCGATGGCAGGGGGAAGGAACCAGTACGAGGGAGCGAGATCGCGGGAGGCGAGCGTGTCCGGCAGCAGCCAAGACTGGCAGTCAGGCCGCCTGCTGCCTCGAAACTTGAGGCGCTTTTAGAGAGTACGATTGCCATGCAGAAGATGTTTCTGAAGCACATGGTGGGATGGAAAGGAGGAGAGGAGGAGAGGAGGAGCGAGGAGAGGGAGAGGAGGAGGGAGAGGAGAGGAGGAGGAGGAAGGGGGAGGGAGGGGGGTTCAGCACCGCTGAGGAAGGGAAAAGTCGAAGGAGGAGGGAAGCGCAAGGAAGCTCTCGTATGATTTCTTTCTGATTGCGATGCTGAAGGAAACGGACGACTCGCAGAGTGAGGGAGGAGTGAAGACATCGAGGAGCTTCGAGCGAGCAGCGAGCAGAGATGACGGGGGGAAGGCGAGCAGGGAGGAGAAGACGATCGTGACAGGAGCAGAGAAGAGAAGGGTCGTCGAGCCGCCGAGGAGACGTTCGAGCGCTGTGAACAAATGGCGGGAGGATGGACAGGAGGATCAGGATGAATACGACCGCCAGGTCAGCGAACGTGACTTGTTGTAAAAATACGATTTGGTTGAGAAGACATGATCTTATGAGAAGACATGACTTGTTTAGAAGACATGCCTTGTTGAGGGAATATGATGTGCTGAAGACTGTATGAATGCTGTTTGTCATATTGACACGTGGTGCTGGTGTTGTTTTCAGTTCCTGAAGAATCTGAAAGAAGTTACGGACAAGTTTGTATCGGCCGGGAAGGAGACTCGTCAGGTGCTGAAGCTTCGATTCCTCAGAGATGATCATGACATCTCAATCAGATATCTGAAGAAGCTGCGAACAATGTCAACGCTGAAGCCTCAAGACTGGATGTAAGAATGTTGAACTGCCGAGTTGATTGTAGTGAGGGAGTGTGTGAGGGAGTGAGCTCTTGAACATGTGGACATCCGCAAGATGTTGCTGATGTTGAATCTTGGCATGTCTTCGTCCCACTTCAATCCATCCTATCCTTTCTCACTGTCTTGTTTTTTTGTCAACTGGATCTCAAACCAACTTGTTTGGCAGAGAACAGAACACGAGGAGGAGGAGGAGGAGGTTGAGGGCCAAGACGAGCTCGATGAAGACAAGATCACGTCAGCAACAGCCTCAATATCTGTTGTGATCGCTAAGAAGCAGCAGGGGCGACGAGGTTCAGACGTATCAAGAAGTTTGCAGATCGTGGATGAAGAGGGTGAAAGAGTCGAGGCGAGATGAAAGTTGCTGCGCTAAATCTTGTTGTGCTCTTTCTGTAGATCTGCAAGCACGTGGTCTCGAGCATTGTCTTCGACTCGAACCTCGTCTTGCAGGTTGACCAGAGGGTAGAGAGAGGAGGAAGCAGAGGACAGGAGGAGAGACGTGCAGGGGGAAGGGAAGGAGGGAGAGGAGGAGAGAGAGAGGAGAGGAAGCAGAGGACAGGAGGAGAGAAGTGCAGGGGAAGGGAAGAAGGGAAGAAGGAGGGAGAGAGAGGAGGGAGAGGGAGGAGAGAGAGAGAGGAGAAAGGGGAGGGAAGAGTAGGTGG